ACCTTAGGTGTATGTGGCTGGTGCCTTAGCCACTTGAGCCACAGACGCCCAGCCACCAGCCCTTAGTTCTAAGGATGAAAGGTAGCTTCAGGAGACTTAGATTGGTGGATTGTGGAATTACAGGGAAGAGGTGCATTTTTCCTCCAGCAGGTGTCAGTGTTTACCTGTCTTACCCTTTGTAGCAGGTTATATTTGTGCTGTTGTCTGGGTAGAACTGGCTTGGAAAAACCCATTTGCCTTTGTTCTAGCTACCTCTGGGCACCTTCTCACATTCCCCTAAAAAAAGTTCTCTCACAGGAAGGAAGGAACCAAGGCTTATTGAGCACCTTCTATGTACGCTAGGCACCAATAGGCACTGTTTGTACAGGTGGCCCCCGATTTAATGATGCTTCAGCCATGATTTTTCAGTTTTGTGATGGTGTGAAACTGTATGCCCTCAGTACACTCCTTGGGTTACGATGAGGTTATGTCTTAATAAACCCATCATTAAACTGAAAATATGGTAAGTTGAAAACATACTTTGAGGGGCAGCACCTGTGGCTCAATGGAGTAAGGCGCTGGCCCCATATACTGGAGGTGGTGGGTTCAAACCCAGCCCTGCCAAAAACTGCAAAAAAAAAAAGAAAACATACTTTGACATATGACATGTTCAACTTACGATGTGTTTATCAAGATGTAACCACATGATGAGTCAAGAAGTATCTGTAATTGTGTCATTTAATCCACAAAGCAATTTTCTGAGGATAATGACATCACTTTTGTTTTGTAGCTCAAGACATTGTAGCTCCAAGAATTTAACTAACTTCCCAAGATCCAAAATTAGTGTAGTAGAAGTAAAGGCTATTAGTGAAAGATATATCTGATCCTTTTTTTCTTTGGATACAGAGTCTTACTTTGTCACCTTTGGTAGAATGTTCTGATATCTTAGCTCACAGCAACCTCAAACTTTTAGACTCAAGCAATCCTGTTGTCTTAGCCTCCCAAGTAGCTGGGACTACAGGCACCCACTACAATGCCCAGCTATTTTTGGAGACAGGGTCTTGCTCTTGCTCAGGCTGGTCTCAAACCCATGAGCTCAGGCAATCCACCCATCTCGGCCTCCCAGAGTGCTATGGTTATAGGCATATCTGGCCCATGCTTTTTTTTTTTTTTTTTTAAACAATCCTTCCACCTCAGCCTCCCAAAGTGCTGAGCCACCAGGGTTGGCCTTGTTTTATGCTCCTTAATTGCAGATTGTTTTCACTACCAAAGGCCATCTTTCAGAAGAGGTCATTGGGGTGGCGCCTGTGGCTCAAAGGAGTAGGGCGCCGGCCCCATATGCTGGAGGTGGTGGGTTCAAACCCAGCCCTAGCCAAAAAAAAAAAAAACTGCAGAAGAGGTCATTGGTTCGCTTTTGGAGCAGGGGTATAGTGGATTTAATTTTAGGATGCAGTGATTGAGAAAAGAAGCATATTGCTGACAAATGGGAAAAAGAATAAAAAGAAAGTGGCTGCTATAGAAGGGAGCATCAGGGACCTGGTCTGAGTGATGTCCTCTTTGAAAGTAAGTAAAGTTTTGCTTTGGCACAGGGACCAATCCCTCAGAGGTGGGAAAGGGCGGAGGAGCCAAACCTGGAGCACGTGCTAATCCAATTGGAGGAGGAGCAACAGAGGTGATGAACCCCAAATTCTCTGACTTGGGTGACTGGCCAGTGGGTGGAGAAGGCTGATGGGAAACCTCTTCTTGAAGGCTAACATGGATCAGAGCCATAAGTCAGCCTTACCCCTCTAATTCCTAGCAATGGAAAATCCTTGTGATTGCCGTCTTAATTCCCAAGAGGTCCAACGGTTGGACCAGACCTTTATTTTGCACTTGCTTTTACCCCTCCCCAGTGCAGGTGTGAGAGTCTAGCAGAGGTGAACACCCAGCTTCGGCTGCACATGGAAAAAGCTGACGTGGTAAATAAAGCCCTTCGGGAAGATGTGGAAAAATTGACAGTGGACTGGATCCGGGCCCGGGATGAGCTAATGAGAAAGGAGAGCCAGTGGCGAATGGAGCAGGAGGTAGGAAAACCGGGGCTGGAACTGCAAGAGGAGGGCCAGTACTATGGACATTGCCCTGGTCAGTGCTGGAAGGGGTTAACTTCAGGACTTGGATGGAAACTGAACTGTCCCTGTTAGAGCCTCTGACCATCCTTACCTGCCCATGCTGGCAGCTTTGCCTTACTTAGGTCTTCCACTTAGTTCTGCTATTACCTGCCCACTCTAGGTTTTGCTGGCAGGCGGGGCATGACACACAAAGCAACTCTGTCCCTGCCAAAGTGACTAGCTTAGGTTTAGGTTTTTTTTTTTTAAAGACAGAATCTCACTTTATCGCCCTTGGTAGAGTGCCGTAGTGTCACAGCTCACAGTGACCTCCAACTCCTAGGCTTAGGCAATTCTCTTGCCTCAGCCTCCTGAGTAGCTGGGACTACAGTTGCCCACCACAGTGGCCAGCTATTTTTGTTGCAGCTTGGCCAGCGCTGGGCTGGAACTGCCACCCTCAGTATACGGGGCTGGCACCCTACCCACTGAGCCACAGGTACCGCCCAACTAGCTTAGGTTTTGATGGATCTGAAAGCTTGCTGGCCCCCTGGTCTGGAGGTCTACATGTCCTCCAGATGCTGAGGTAGATATTGAAATTGAATGAGGAAGTAAGACCAGTTTGGGGCTCTGGGGAATTTTCAGATCTCAGGTAAAGGAAACAAATGTTTCTTGAGCCTTTGCTCTATGCAAGGTGATTTTTATATATTATGCTATTTACTCCTCCCATAAGTCTGTAATGGCCTCATTTGTTAAGTAGCTACTATGTATCATTTTCTAATCCAGCCCAGAGGAAGACTGTGTACCATCCTAAGCCCTCTAACCTCTTGACTCCCATTGCCAAGTTTATTAAACCTTTTGGCATAACTTGAATAGACATTCATAACCTGTCCTGTAAGTCCCTCCTTCCTTACCCCCAGTAGTCAGAAGGAATCCAAAACTCTTATGTTGTCAAAAGATAGTCCTCTGCACTTTAGAGTGACCTGGGTTTCTGAACACACAGTTTTTCAAGGGCTACCTGAAAGGGGAGCATGGTCGCCTTCTCGGTCTATGGCGGGAGGTGGTCACCTTCCGACGCCACTTTCTGGAAATGAAGTCAGCTACTGACAGGTCAGTGAGGATAAGAAGGGAGGAGGTTTGCCCCTACAATTTTGGGCTCATGACAGTGGACTGCTGTAGAAGCGAGGATCGGGAGTGGGGTGGGTGGAAAAGTTGGTATTGTTGGGGGCTCAGAAGACTTTTCCCAGACCTGCTCCTCAGGATTCATTGAGGTTGTTCTCTCTCCATGCTGCCTTCCCTGGTCTGTATTGGAATCTGCTCTTTTCCTTGCTTGTATTCAGAGATCTGACAGAACTAAAGGCTGAGCACATGAGGCTATCAGGGACTCTGTTAACCTGTTGTCTACGCTTGACCATGGGAGCACAGTGTTGGGAATCTAATGGATCTGGGAAAATGGATGGGAGGGAGCCAGCCCAGTTGCTGCTGCTAATAGCCAAGACCCAGCAGCTGGAGAAGGAAGCCCATGAGAAGAGCCAAGAGTTATTACAGCTTAAGAGTCAAGGGGATCTGGAGAAGGCTGAACTTCAGGACCGGTAAGAGAGCCTTGGGGTGCCAGGAAGGATTTACTGAGGGAAAGATGACTCCCTCAGTGAGTTAGGAATAGGCAAGGGAGATGCCAAGAACATTTTTACTATGAGAAGGAAAAGAGATATTCCAGAGGTAATCTAGTTTGAAAATTGATGCCATAGCTGGGGCATGTTACTAACTCCCCCCAGACTATCCTGCAGCTCAGTTTCTCTCCTGCTGATTTATGACTATGTCCTCTATCAACACCAAACTACTTGTCATCCTCCGAGCAGCCAAGCTCTTCCGCACTTCCCTTTTTTTTTTTTTTTTTTTTTGACACAGAGTCTCATTATGTTGTCCGCAGCAGAGTGCAGTGGCATCACAGCTCACAGCAACCTCAAAATCTTGGGCTAAGTGATTCTTTTGCCTCAGCCTCCTGAGTAGCTGGGACTACAGGCACCAGCCACAATGCCCCACTATTTTTTGGTTGCATTTGCCATTGTTGTTTAGTAGGGCCGAGCTTGAACCCCCACCAGCGTTGGTGTGTTGTGGCCGGCGCCCTACTCACTGAGCTACAGGGGCCGAGCCAGTGCTTCCCTGTCTTCATACAAGCTGGCGTTAGCCTGAAATGCCTCCCTCCCTTTTCTCTCTGTCTTATCCTTCAAGACATAGTTGAAATGCCCCCTCTTCTATGAAGCCTTCTCTGACACCAGTAGCCTGCTAAGTAATGCCCCTGTTTTCTTTTTACCAGCTTGTTATGGCATTGATCTCCTTAATTATTTAGATTTCTTTTTTTTTTGGTTAGATTGTTTTAATTTGGGGATTATAGTGAAGTAGGTTTTTAAAAAATGGTGATAAGAAGGCAGGAACATACAGCCCCATTAAATCTCAGGGCAAAGTTTAGTTTATGCCTCATGACATAAACTAAAACATGACTAGGTTTCTGTCTTCACCTGTTGGTGGTATGCACAAATTGCAGGACTATTTTTTTTATTTTTGCTTTTTGAGACACCAAGAAACACAAAGAGATGATGTCTTAGTAAGTTTTATGTCTCTAGTGTTTTGCATTTCATATGCTATATAGTAAGATACTCCATAACTGTTCGTTGAATGATACTATAATTAAATAAATGACCATGCATGAATTAAGGCTCTTAGAGATAGTGGAGAATAAAATTATTAAGACTTTTTTTGTTTTTGGGACAGAGTCTCACCGTGTCACCTTTGGTAGAGTACCGTGGTGTCACAGCTCATAGCAACCTCAAACTCTTGGGCTTAAGCAATTCTCTTGCCTCAGCCTCCTGAGTAGCTGGGACTATAGGCCCCCACAGCAACACCCGGCTATTTTTTGGTTGCAGTTGTCATTGTTTTTTAGCAGGCCCAGGCTGGAACCTGCCAGTCTCCGTGTATATGGTTGGCGCCCTACTCACTGAGCTATGGGCACTGAACCAAATTATTAAGACTTTAAAAAAAATACAAATTCCTAGGTGATATTCATTCAAGAATATTTATCCACCCATGTAATACCAAGAGCAAAGCTCCATGATACATACTACAGTGTTAAGTGATAAAGATGTTTGGGGATTTCACTGGACATTGATGTTAATATCAAAAAGGTTGACCCTAATCTTCTCCAAATTACCCCCTCCTTTTTCCCTATCAGAGTCAGAATCTTGGGCTGGAGGGACCTTGGGACTATCCCATGTGGCAATTCTGATGTTCTTAATTGGCTTCAGGGTGCTTGACTTCAAGATCAAGCGAGGCCTGGAAGGGCCTGGGCCAGGGCTTTCCTTCAGCTCTCGGGCCCCCAGACACGTGTTCCAGCCCTGAGATGTGGTAAATGCCTGCATGTGTCTGAGTGGCTTTTTGCTTCCCTCTCAGTTGAAGGCTACAGCATCATGTGGTATTCAGGGAGTGCAGAGGGCTGGGGGTATCCAGGAGATTCTGGGAAGGCTGCAGGGGGAGTGTCTGTTATTGGGCTGGGGTGTGCCGCATAGTAGCTCTGTGCACATGGTTTGGCTGCCCAGGTGATGGTGCTGTGCTCTTCTCTTTAGGGTGACCGAGCTCTCTGTTCTGCTGACCCAGTCTCAGAAGCAAAATGAAGACTATGAAAAGATGGTAAAGGCTCTGAGAGAGACAATGGAGATCCTGGTACATGATCCTTTGTTCTGGAAAGGAATTGAGAATAGGCTTGTAGGTTCTTTGTCCTGTATGAAAAGATAGTGCACCAGTTAAATGTTCCTAGGTGAAATACTCTTAAGCTAAAAACTAAATTTTGACTGAATCTGAAAATTAATTAAATCATTCATTTATTCATTCAGTAAATATTAACTGTCGGGTGACGCCTGTGGCTCAAAGGAGTAAGGCACCAGCCCCATATGCTGGAGGTGGTGGGTTCAAACCCAGCCCCGGCCAAAGACTGCAATAAATAAATAAATAAATATTAACTGTCAACTATACCTACTGTATTCCGAGGGAAACTACAATGGCACATGTGTGTACTATGTCATAATTTGCATTATACATTAATGTATATTTAATGTATACATTAAGAATTATATTGATAAATTAGCAAGTCACTAGAAAGTGGATAGTGGAGAGATTAAAAACCTCTCTACCTGGTTATATGGGAAATAACTGAAGAGCATATGGCAGTGTTTAGCCTGGAGAAGAAAGGGCTTGAGGCCCTTCGAAGGTCCCTGAAGATGACGTGATTGCTGCCTTAACATATCTGGAGAACTGACAATAGGAAAAAGAGAGTTGACTCATTTAATGTTTTCTAGGGAAAAACCAGTCAGTGGCTTGAAGTTATAGGGTAGTAGAGTTTGTCTCCCAGCTAGAGCTGTTCAATATTTGAGCAGTCTGTTTTGTGAAGCAGTGAGGTTTTGGTCACTGGCTTAACATCTGCCAGGGGTGATATCCAAAGGATTCTCTCCAAGGTTGGATTTTAGAACCTCTGGCTTGATTCCATGTTTCCTTTTATCTTCATGAATTTTCAGATCTTACCTCTCAACCCCCATCCATATGCACACCCCTAGTTTTCTGATCTAAGCTGGGATCAACAGGGAGCCAGACTTGTTTGTGATTTTTTGATTATTTTTTATTAGAAATTTGCCAATTCAGAGATCAACAGGGTCAGGTGGTGTAAGTGAACAAAGCGGGTTCACTTGTAAGAATCCTGCTTTTCCAGTGCATCCAATTTAGTTTTCAATACTGCAGGGAACACTTAATCTCAGTATAAAGGATACCAGGAAGAGTGGTAGGGACTAACTGTCTCATCCAGAGGAGGCATCAACTTCAGTGAATTGTTGCCATGTAGGAATAGGGGCTGGAGGTGGCCCATATGTTAACTTTTTGAAAGAAGCCAGAAATATTTAAATATTTGTATTTAAAATCTTTCAATCTATGAATGTTATAGAGGCCAAATAAAACATAGCTGCAGGTCTATGTCTTTAGGCTTTCACTAACACAAATAGGATAGGAAGGAAGAAAGGAAATCTTGAGTCTTCAAGATTATTTCTAGCTTTGGGGCTAGAGGTGCCTCTTGTTTAGCCTTATGTCCAAGCATCACTTTACTGTGCAGATATAGCAGCCATACCCCACCCAATAACAGCTCACAGTTGTTGAACATTTGCCTCATGTCAGGCGCTATGTTGAGTAGTTTACATGCATTTTTTTTTCATTTAAGCTTCAAGATGTGAAGTAGTTGCTGTTAATTCTTCCTGTTTTAAAGAGAAGGAAGTTCAAAGAAGCATTTGCCTAAATGACCAAGCTAATGAATGACAGATCAAGAATTCTAATCTAGACAGTCCAATTTAGAAGTTGTAATCATTTTATCTAAAATCTTTTAATCACCACATGTCACAGTCTTTAGACTCCTTTGACAACAAGTAGCATTCATATGTGGTTAAGGAAAAAGTAGAGCTAACAGAACAGATAGAATGAGACTTTGAGGGGTTTGGAATTATAAGTCCTCTTTTGAGAGTTTGCTCTGAGGTTCTGTTGTGTTCCCTGTTCAGGAAACAAATCATGCAGAATTAATGGAGCATGAGGCATCTCTTAGTAGAAATGTCCAGGAGGAGAAGTTGTCTTTACAGCAGGTGATCAAGGATATAACCCAGGTACTGGAAAACCTCCTGTGCATGTCTCATTCCTCTCCCCAGGTCTTTGTATCCTCTCAGTCATGCTTAGATTTCTAGTCTCTAGGGTGTTTGGGCTTAGGGTCTTATGGGAGTACGTTCTCTGGGTATGTTTGAAGATTAGAACCCTAGGAGGTTCTTGTTTGATCACTGTCTGGTGGGCCAGGCCCCTTTCCTATTGCCAGCTGTAATTCTTAGGCAGAGCTGGAATCTGGTGTTTGCTACCTCAATAGCCTCTCCTTCCTTCTCGTCCTCAAAAAAGGAACCAGCCTCTTTTGCTCTCAGATATGCTCTTCATTACCTTTAGGGAGAGGACCTAAGAAGGAAAATGTCAGCTTTGTCCAGGCTGTAGTGTATGGACACTAGCACTTGATCAGTAGGGTGGTGACCCCACTGTGTTGGGTTTCAGGTCATGATGGAAGAAGGGGACAATATGGCCCAAGGCTCTGGTCACAAGAGCTCTTTGGAATTGAACTCTAGTGGCTTCTCCCAGTTTGATTCCCAGGCTCCAGACAAGACTCTTACTCTGGTGCGTTCAGTGCTGACTCAGAGACGCCAGGCTGTACAGGTGAGAACCCGCAGCATTCATCCTTAGTTATGAGGAGTGGATGTCTAAATTTATTTATGCCCCAGGTACCTCCCTAGCCTGGAGTGCCCCATTCTCTATGTTGACAAATTGTCAGTTATTTTGTCACTATCCAAAAGAATCTCTATGTCTTCCCAGTTGTCCTTATGAATAACCAGCACATTTTCTGTGCCAGTGGCATGCTTCATTTTGCATGTAGTCTTTGTATAGCACCATTCAAAGACTGGAGACCAGAGCCCTGGGAGAATATGGATAGGTACAACTCTGAGGGTCCCAGGTATACTTACCATCCCCTAATGCCACTGTATATTTGGAGATGATGAACTCTAAGACTCAGAGCCACAGAAACCTAATAACCTCTGGTCCTCTGTCTTCTCAACTGGTAACCTCTCTAGTTGCAACTTGCCCTGTAGCACCAGCCCCTAACCTCCTTGTCCATCCCCTTGACATCCCTCCTTTGCCCTTTCCTTCTTGCTCATCATCTGGTATCTATTGCTTTCCTTCCATAGGACCTAAGCCAGCAGCTTTCAGGCTGCCAAGAGGCTGTGAGCTGCTTGCAGCAGCAGCATAATCAGTGGGAGGAAGAGGGCAAAGCCTTGAGACAGCGGCTGCAGAAGCTCACTGGGGAGCGGGATACTCTGGCAGGGCAGACTGTGGACCTCCAAGGAGAGGTGGACTCTCTCAGCAAGTGAGCAGATGGGATGTCATCCCACCCTTCCACCCCTGTTCCCAGTCCTCATCCAGCCATTTTCCCACTTCATAGGATTTTTGGTTGGCTGATCCTGCTTTCCCTGAGACCTGGGGCTGTTCAGGGCTGCTTTACCTTGTGTTCTGCTGTTTCTGCCCAACAAATTATTGTGTCCTGGGTCTTTGTGATTATGAAAGAATGGTTCCTCACTTGAAAGGAAAGGTGGGATATTGAAAAGAAACAGGCACTTTTGACTCTGTGATGTCTGCTTCCAGCAGAGATTTTAGGTGCCATGATTTCTGCTCTCTGATCTCCATCTTCCAGGGAGCGAGGGCTCCTGCAGAAGGCCAGGGAAGAGCTGCAGCAGCAACTGGAGGTGCTGGAGCAGGAGGCGTGGCGCCTGCGAAGGACAAACATGGAGCTTCAGCTGCAGGGGGACTCCGCTCAGGGTGAGAAGGAGGAGCAGCAAGAAGAGCTGCACCTGGCTGTCCGGGAGCGGGAACGCCTGTAAGTAAACCATCTCCTCACTAGGGCTGGCCTTCCTTCATTGCACACCCTCCCCTAACTACTCCCCTCTACTGGAAAGTGGAGTACCCAGAAGCCTGGCATGTAGTGGGTTCAGATTAGCTTATTGCTTCTTCCTTTGCAGGACAAATACAGTAAGTTCTAGAAAAGTCAAGAAAGACTGCTGAGCCAAACCCATAGGGATGAGGCACTATGGGGAATACAGAAAAGATTATGACACAGGCCCTGATCTCAAGGACCTAGCAGTCTATTGGAGAAGACAGACAAGTAAACAACTGTGACATGAGGCGAGATAAAGTATGAGCTAAATAGAGCTTCAGGCCAGGTCCTTTGGGAACATAGGAGTAACAGTTACTGACGTCCAGGAAAAGCTTTACAGACTAAAGGATGGGCTTTGGTCTTAACCTGCTTCGACTGGTAGAGAACAGCAGAAAGGCTAAAGGAATAGCCCAGCAAAGAAAAGGAGCTGCAAGGTTCACGGTATGTTTGGGGCTAGCTAAAAGGTAGGATTTATACCAGAAAGTTGTGGGAAATAAGCTGGTCAAGAAAGGGAAATCCATTAAATGGAGAATACAGATGTTTTAACACAGTAAACTAAGAAGATGCCATGAAGGCTATGTTAACCAGTTGATGAAAATATTTCAAATTGTATATAAAACCAGCACATTGTACCACATGATTGCTTTAATATACACAGCTATGATTTAATTAAAAAAAAAGTTGGGGGGTGGAAATCCAGGCCACCACAGTGGCTCACGCCTGTAATCCTAGCACTCAGAGGCTGAGGCAGGAGTATTGCTTGAACTCATTCGGGGATTCAAGACTGGCCTGAGTAAAAGCGAGACCTCATCTTTACCAAAAATAGAAAAAATTAGCCAGCATGGTTGGTACTCACCTGTAACCCCAGCTACTTGAGAGGCTGAGGCAGGGGGATTGCTTGAGCCTAAGAGTTTCATGTTGCAGTGAGCTAAAATGATGCCATTGCACTTAGGGCATCAGAGTGAAACTCTGTCTCAAAAAAGGGAAATCCAAAGTAAAAGGACCTAGCTAATCAGTAAATTCCCCTATATGATGTCACAGAAGCAGCAAAGATTTTAGAGCTGAACAAAAGCTTGGTTTGAATTATGGCTCTGTCATTTAGAAAGATTATATTATTTGTAAAATATGGTGGGTAATACTTACCTTGAAGGATTGTTGGGAAAATTAGAGCAGTGTTTTGGAAAATGCCAACGTAAAACCTGGTATACTGACATATCTTTAATTACTGGGAGCAGGTGTCAGGCGTGGTGGCTCATATCTGTAATCCCTGCACTTTGGGAGGCCAAGGCAAGAGGATCACTTGAGGCCAAGAGTTGAGACCAATCTGAACAACTTAGAGAGACCCAGTCAAAAAATCAACAGGTGTAGTGGTATATGCCTGTAGGCTTAGCTTCTCTGAAGACTGAAGCAGGAGGATCACTTGGGCCCAGGAATTTGAGGTTGCAGTGAGTGATGATGATATCACTGCACTCTAGCCTAGACAACAGAACAAGACACTATCCCAGAAAAACAAATAAATAGCTGGGAGCATGGATGTATTTACTTCATATTTGGTAATGTATTTACTTCATATTTGCCCTCCTTCCTGGCGCATGCCTTGTAGGCCTGAAAAGTAGAAACTTGAGGCTCGGCGCCTATAGCTCAACCGGCTAAGGCGCCAGCCACGTACACTAAGGTGGCGGGTTCGAATCCCCAGCCGGGACCCGCCAAACAACAAGGATGGCTGCAACCAAAAAATAGCCGGGCGTTGTGGCGGGCGCCTGTGGTCCCAGCTACTTGGGAGGCGGAGGCAGGAGACTCGCTTGAGCCTAGGAGTTGGAGGTTGCTGTGAGCTGTAATGCCACGGCACTCTGCCCAGGGGGACAGCTTGAGGCTCTGTCTCAAAAAAAAAAAAAAAAAGTAGAAACTTGAAGGACTGACATATGTGTCATGACTTGTACTAGGAGCAGTATCACATGTACCAGAGGGTAGAGCAGACAATCTACAGAGATGATTATATATTTTTAAATTTGTCTCACTTGATAATATAATTGTATGATTCAAAAGTTAAAACTATTTTAAAGGTATACAGAGAAGTCTCATTCCCATTTGCACTTTCTTCATCCCATTTCCCGTCCTTATATAGGTAATCTTTTTTTTTTTTCCCTTTTCTTTTTTATTTTTTTGAGACAGAGTCTCACTTTGTCACCCTTGGTAGAGTGCCATGGCGTCATAGCTCACAAACTCAAACTCTTGGGCTTAAGCGATTCTCTTGCCTCCGCCTCCCAAGTAGCCAGGACTACAGGCTACTTGTTGGAGTTGTCATTGTTGTTTAGCTGGCCTAGGCTGGGTTCGAACCCACCAGCCTCAGTATATGTGGCTGGTGTCATAACCACTGTGCTAGGGTCACCGAGCCTAATCATTATTCATTATTTTTTTTAATTTTTAGAGAAAGGGTCTTGCCCTGTTACCGAGGCTGGGGTGCAGTGGTATGATCATAGTTGATTGCACCCAGAGCCAAGTTGGACTCAGGTGATTCTGCTGCCTCAGCCTCTTGAGTAACTGGGACTATGGACATGTGCCACCCTGTCCAGCTAATTTTTAAAATATTTTTGTAGAGACAGAATCTTGCTATATTGCCCAGGTTGGTCTCAACCTCCTGGCCTCAAGTAGTCCTCCTGCCTTGGCCTCCCAAAGTACTGGGATTATCCAGGCACAGTGGCTCACGCCTATAATTCTAGTACTCTGGGAGGCCAAGGCAGATGGATCACCTGAGCTCAGGAGTTTGAGACCAACCTGAGCAAAAGCAAGACCCTGTCTCTAAAAAATAGCTGGGTGTTGTGGCAGGTGCTTGTACTCTCAGCTATTTGGGAGGCTGAGGCAAAAGGATTACTTGAGCCCAAGAGTTTGAGGTTGCTGTGAGCTATGACGCCATGGCACTCTATCAAGGGTGACAAAATGAGACTCCATCCCCAAAGTACTGGGATTACAGGCATGAACCACTATGCTTGGGCAGTATTAATTAATTTCTTGTTTATGTTACCAGTACTACTTCATGCAAATATAAGCATATATTCTTCCTTTCTTTTTTTTCTTTTTTTTTTTTTTGAGACAGTGCCTCAAGCTGTCCCCCTGGGCAGAGTGCCGTGGCATTACAGCTCACAGCAACCTCCAACTCCTAGGCTCAAGCGAGTCTCCTGCCTCCGCCTCCCAAGTAGCTGGGACCACAGGCGCCCGCCACAACGCCCGGCTATTTTTTGGTTACAGCCATCATTGTTGTTTGGCGGGTCTGGGCTGGGGATTCGAATCCACCACCTTAGGTGTATGTGGCTGGCGCCTTATCCGGTTGAGCTATAGGCGCCAAGCCTATTCTTCCTTTCTTGCATAAAAGGTAGTTCATTATATATACGATTCTATACCTTGCTTTTTTTCACTTGAAATGCCTTAGAGATCTTTCCTTATCAGTTTTTGGAGACCTTCCTCATTCTGTTGCATAGCAAAGGTAATTACCGTTTGGGTCATAGCCAGTCCCTAAGACTTCCTCTAGACTCCTCTCCTTCCCTTCTTAAGTCAGGAGATGCTGGTGGGCCTGGAAGCCAAGCAGTCAGAATCACTCAGTGAACTGATCACTCTTCGGGAAGCCTTGGAGTCAAGTCGCCTAGATGGGGAGTTGCTACGGCAAGAGCAAACAGAAGTGACTGCAGCGCTGGCTAGGGTGCGTGGGCCTCCTCTTCTTACTTTCTGGGTAGGCAGCTTAAAATGGTGTGTTCCCCGGAAAGGACCATCAGACTGCTTCATTCTTCACCTTCAAGCCATAACTCCTCATATTTCTTTCCTCAGTTACTGGTCTATTTCTGGGTCCTCCCCCTCCAACGTGCCCTCTGTATTCGAATTAGACTGCATTTTCCAAAGTATAAGTTTTTATACTTTATACTAGTATATTATGTCATTCTCTTAAAACCATTCAATGGCTGTCTAGTTTTGTGGTGCCACATTAATTAGCCCTTTGTTGGCCAGAACCAATGGCTCATGCCTATAATCCTAGCACTATGGGAGGCCAAGGTGGGAATATCACTTGAGGTTAGGAGTTCAGGACCAACCTGAGCAAGAGTGAGACCCCCATCTCTACTCAATATAAAAAAATTAGCCAGATGTGATGGCATGTGCCTGTAGTCCCAGTCACTTGGGAGGCTGAGGCAGAAGGATCACTTGAGCTCAGGAGTTTGAGGTTGCAGTGAGCTGTGATTATTCCACTGTACTCTAGCCAGGGCAATAAAGTGAGACTTCATCTCAAAAATAAAACAACAACAAAAAACCTCTGTCATCTGTCTCAAACTGTGTTTTTAGCCTTTCCATTTCAAAACCCCATCCTGACTCCTCATATCCTTTGCTCCTGCCACATCTCATTCTCAGTTATACCATGTTCTTTCGTGACCCTAATACTTTGCTCTACTTTTCCCTTTTCCTGGACTGCTTCTTTCCTCCCCCTTTAACTGCAAACTGTTCCTCACTTCTCAATACCCAATGTAATTGTCATTTCCTCTATCAGCCATTTTTGACTCTTTGAGTTCCCAGAGCACTTAGTGCTTACATTTTCTATGATGTCTTTACAATTATAGTTGTTTATGCATTCTTATATCCATATATTTATAAAATGAGCTCCTGTCTTACTCTTTAATCAATGAATGAATGAAGGGAAAACTTGTTTAGAATGTATGAGAGGGAATGGAGTGTTAACTGATCTTCATACAAAAAAAGCAATGGGTATTGGGAATGTGAACTGTTTATTGTTGCATAAAAACTGGAAACGTGAAACTCTTTGACCCTCTTGTTTTTAGGCAGAGCAGTCAATTGCAGAGCTGTCGAGTTCTGAGAACAGCCTGAAGGCAGAAGTAGCTGATCTTCGGGCAGCAGCTGTCAAACTCAGTGCCTTAAATGAGGCTTTAGCCTTAGATAAAGTTGAACTGAACCAGCAGCTTCTCCAGGTGAGCAAGGATTTCCCTGGTCCTTGAAGTAAGGTGGTCCCTGATTGAGCACAAGCCAGGGACAGGTGAAGCTGATGCCCGTGGCTGGGCAGAGTCCTTAAAGCAGTGGTTCTCAACCTTCCTAATGCCGTGATATATTTTCATTGTTACAAAGGAGTCACAACCCACTGGTTGAGAACCGCTGCCTTAAAGGATCAGCCCAAGATAGATCAGCTCCAAAAGGTGGTTCTGAAATGAGCAAAAGGAACATTTACAGTTCAGAGGAGAGCAAAGAATATATGGATTAGGCTTAGCCATTAGAAATATTCCCTTTCCACAATAAAGGTAGAACTACCTTTGGCCCTTCAGGGAAAATCACCAGGGCTGAGAAGTGGCCCATGCCCTCTGGAAGGAAGACTAGGTTTTTTTTGTTGTTGGGGATTTTTTTGCAGTTTTTGACTGGGGCTGGGTTTGAACCCACCACCTCCAGTATATGGGGCCAGTGCCTTACTCCTTTGAGCCACTCGCACCCCTCAGGAAGACTAGGTTTTTAATCCCATTGGGTGAGATAATAGTAATCACCAGAAAAAGATGTACTGAAGAGCCTAAATCCCAAAGAATCTTCTCTATAGGTTACAAATTTAATTTATAATTTTAGCAAGGTAAACTTGCTATCCCTGTGCCCTTCAGTCCCAGAGATGTCCTGTATTCTGTTATTCTGAATTCTTCGAGAGAAGGATTTTGCCTCCTATATTTTTGTCCCCAGTATCCAGCCTGCCTAGTACCTCGAATATAGGCACTAAATCATATGAATGGATTGTCCTCCTCTGGACATGGATCCGTTTAGAGAACAGATTCTTACCTCGCTTGGATTTCAGTCTCTTACTTGATCCCTAAACTGTAACCGTTTGTCTTTGATGTCCTGTACTCCCTTCCCTCTTTGGTCAGTAGTTAGAGCAAGAGAACCAGACTGTGTGCAGCAGAATGGAAGCAGCAGAGCAGGCAAGAAACGCTTTGCAGGTGGACCTGGTGGAGGCAGAGAAGAGCAGGGAAGCCCTGTTGGAAGAGAAAACTCACCTGGAGGCTCAGCTGCAGAAAGTGGAGGAGACTGGGGTTGAGCTACAGGCAGATCTTAGGGGAATCCGAGAAGAGAAGGAAGAAATTCAAAAGAAACTAAACGAGGTGAGAAAGCAAAACTGACACCATCACGTTCAGATGTAATACATGCTTATTGTGAAAAATTAAAACATTATAGGAACAATTTATAAAGTAAAAATGTCTTGCTTCCTAGAAATAACGAGCATTACTAGCTTGCAGTATATCATCCAATTTTTTAGAAGAATTTCTACAGGATGCCTTTATTGATTTCCTGCTACCATATACCCCCTAGTTTGAATTAGGTGCTTCTCCTATATGCTCTGTTTAGCACTTCATGCTTATTTGACCACTACACCCTTCATACTATATTTATCTATTTACTTATCTCCACCATTAGACCAGAAGTCCCTTGAAAGCAAGGCTCTTGTCTTACTTGTTTTTATTCTTCCAGCTTTTAGCACAGTATCTATCAGTGGCTCAGTAAATCTTTTCCTGAACCAATGAATCACCTGGCTCAAAGGTCATCTTTCTTCTCTACCAAACCTCTCATTGCCCTAATAATCATTGCCCTTCTCAGAGTCCCTTTCTCGGGACACTGATCACTTTCTTCCTGGTATTATGGGTATATCTTCTCAAAACTAGAGCTTTTTGCCTTCTAAGCTGTTGACCTTCCCCCACAAAAAAAAAACAAAAAACAGAAAAACTAGAGCTTCTTAGGGTCAGGTCCTTTGCTATCTCTAGCACAGGATCTTGCTCATAGGGAAACATTCTTCCTGGGCTGGAAGCTCTATGGGTTGATCAGGGAAAGAGATAAATGCCACTTGGTATTGAGTGGGTGATGCTCAGGGCTCACAGAGCTGGGTCTGAAATCCCCCAAGAACCAGTGGCCCTAACCTGGTAGTAGTAGCCCCTGGGGGATCCTGCCTCTGCTCTGTATCTCACTGATTTCTTCCTTTCAGGCACGCCACCAGCAGGAGGCAGCCATAGCTCAGCTGGAGCAGTTGCATCAGGAGGCCAAGCGACAGGAAGAAGTGCTTGCCAGGGCAGTCCAGGAGAAGGAGGCCCTAGTCCGAGAGAGGGCGGCTCTGGAGGTGCGGCTGCAGGCCATGGAGCGGGACCGGCAGGACTTTGCTGAACAAGTACTAGAGCTCAGGTAGGACCCAGACCCAGAGCAGCCGAGCACACAGATTTGCAAGCCAAGAGGTAGCCAAGCTTAGCTCCCTGTGTAAGTATGTGGGTTCTAAATTAGTTATGAATTTATAATTAACCCCCCTAACTTCTCCGTGGAGCCAGTACTTAGAACCCACCTCCTCTTGAGGAAGGGTAAAGAGCTTGATGGGTAAGAACTCTTCCTGATTCCTGAACCTCACAGCTCAGCCAAGGAGCTACTGGAGAGCAGTCTATTTGAAGCCCAACAACAAAACTCTGTGATAGAGGTCATCAAGGGGCAGCTGGAAGTCCAAATTCAAACTGTCACTCAAGCCAAGGAGGTAATCCAAGGTGAGAACCCACCAAGGTGGGGCAAGAAGGCAGTGTGGGAGGTTATTAGAGGTCCTTATCCAGCCAGGCTCAGAGCCTCTGAGTTAGTTGCTCAGGAGGCAGGGAGAAGAAGGAGAATATTATTAGGAGAAAGGACTGAGGCAGAGACCCAGAGGCCTGACCCAGTCCCTGGTATCCTAGGGGAAGTGAGGTGCCTGAAGCTGGAACTGGACACTGAACGGACCCAGGCAGAACAGGACCGGGATACGGCAGCGAGACAGCTGGCCCAGGCTGAGCAAGAGGGACAGATTGCCCTGGAGCAACAGAAGGTGGCCCACAAGGAGGAGGTGAACCAGCTTCGGGAAAAATGGGTAGGTGGTGGATGTGGCTGGGGGACGGGAGAGACAGGCATGGCCTTTAGTGAGTGCTCCACCTCCTGACTTGTGGTCCAGATACTGCTGCTTATTAGGGTGAAAATTGGTCACCAAGGTATAAAATCCAGCTTCTAGCCATTAAATGAATTAATATATGGAAAACAATAAGAATAGTTCCTGGTACATAATGAGCTCTGTATCTATATTAACTTTTATTATTGATATTGTTTTGGTGTGTACAAAGAATTAAGAGAGGACCCTGGGATTTAGGACTTTTTTTGGAGACAGTCTCACTCCGTGCCCTGGGTAGAGTGCCATGGTGTCATAACTCACAACAACCTCAAACTCTTGGGCTTAAGCCTTAGCCTCCCAAGTAGCTGGGACTACAGATGCCTGCCACAATGCCCACCTAGTTTTTCTATTTTTAGTAGAGACAGGGTCTCGCTCTTGCACATGCTGGTCTTGAACTCCTGAGCTCAGGCAATCCACCTACCTCAGCCTCCCAGAGTGCTAGGATTACAGTGAGCCACTGAGTCACTGCACCCAGGCACTGTGACTCACCCAGTGTGAGCCACTGCACCCAGCCAATTCAGGCTTATTAAATTGGCCTCAAGATATAAATGGGGCAGAGGAATATCTTGGATGCATTCTTTCTCAATTCAGAACTGTGTTTCTTTTGTTTTTTACTTACATAACTTAGTGTCCATTTGCTTTATTGCAATTTTCATTGTATTTTGTATTTCTTTCTTCTTTTTTTTTTTTGAGACGGAGCCTCAAGCTATCCCCCTGGGTAGAGTGCCATGGCATCACGCTCACAGCAACCTCCAACTCCTGGGCTCAAGCGAGTCTCCTGCCTCCGCCTCCCAAGTAGCTGGGACCACAGGCGCCCGCCACAACGCCCGGCCATTTTTTGGTTGCAGCCATCATTGTTGTTTGGCAGGCCCGGGCTGGGGATTTGAACCCACCACCTTAGGTGTATGTGGCTGGCGCCTTAGCCACTTGAGCCACAGGCGCCGAGCCTTGTATTTATTTCTATGGTGTTAAGTTATTTGTCTGCCTTTTTATATCTTTTAGGGAGAGGAAATCACCTTTCCTAACTTCTTTTAAAGGGTTAAATTGGATAGTTATGTTGTATTTTTTCCTCCCTGCAACTTTGGATGAGATAAAATTTTAAAAAATTAGGGTGGCACCTGTGGCTCAGCAAGTAGGGTGCCAGCCCCATATACCGAGGGTGGTGGGTTCCAACCCGGCCTCTGGCCAAACTGCAACCCAAAAATGGCCGAGCGTTGTGGCAGGTGCCTGTAGTCTCAGCTATTTGGGAGGCAGAGGTAGAAGAATCGCTTAAGCCCAAGGGCTGGAGGTTGCTATGAGCTGTGACACCAAGGCACTCTACTGAGGGCAACAAAGTGAGACTGTCTCAAAAAAAAGTCATAATAAAATAAAAAAAAAATTCCGTGTTTACCTTTAATATTTTAAAATATATACTTAATACAGTATCAAATCAGTCGGTGTTTTTACACTTTTCCTGAATGACACAAGGGTCTTAAGAGCATTTTACGTGCCTTTGCTCCTCCCTGATTTATGTGTTATTTTGTTCCATGTGTTTAGTTCTAACTAGTTTAACATTGCAAACTGTGCAAATTTTATTATTTTATACAGTCAATATTTGTTTAGGTGCAGTTATAAATTTGCAGATGTTTTGTTCACCATTCCTTATTGGATTGATGTTCCTTCTGCCTGAAGTAGGATTTCCTTTGATGAGGGTCTGTTGGCAGTTAATTGAAAATGTTTTTGTTTTGCTTTTATTCTTGAAAGGTATTTTCACTGTGTGCAAAACTCATATTTAAGATTCTAGCATGACAGTTATTTCTCTGAAGATTGTTGGTATTGAGAAGTTAGCTCTCAGTTTAATTGTGTTGCAATTTCTCTTCTTTTTTTTTTTTTTTTTGAGACAGAATCTTATTTTGTCTCCCTGGGTAGAGTATCATGGTGTCACAGCTCACAACAACCTCAGACTCTTGGGTTCAAATGATCTTCTTGCCTCAGCCTCCTTAGTAGCTGAGACTACAGTTGCCCACCACAATGCTCAGCTATTTTTAGAGACAAAGTCTTGCTCTTGCTCAGTCTGGTCTCAAACCTATCAGCTTGAGGCCACTCACCTCGGCTTCCCAGAGTGCTAGGATTACAGACATGAGCCACTGCACCCAGCCTCTTATATAATTCTTATATGTTATCTCTTCAAATATAGCCTCTTTCCTACTTCTCTTTTTCTGTACTCTGTTTTGTTGTATGTTAGACCTTCTTATTCTATCCACCATGTATCTTTCTTTTTTTTTGAGACAGAGTCTCACTATGTAACCCTTGATAGAGTGCTGTGACATCACAGCTCACAGCAACCTCAAACTCTTGGGCTTAAGTGATTCTCTTGCTTCAGCCTCCCAGTAGTTGGGACTACAGGCATCTGCCACCACACACAGCTATTTTTTTGTTATTGTTGTCATTGGTTTTTGTTTTGTTTTGTTTTGTTTTGAGACAGAGCCTCAAGCTGTCCCTCTGGGTAGAGTGCCGTGGCACACAGCTCACAGCAACCTCCAACTCCTGGGCTCAAGCCAGTCTCCTACCTCAGCCTCCCAAGTAGCTGGGACCATAGGTGCCCGTCACAACACCTGGCTATTTTTTGGTTGCAGCTGTCATTGTTTGGCGGGCCCAGGCTGGATTCAAACTCGCCACCTTAGGTGTACGTGGCTGGCGCCTTAGCCACTTGAGCCACAGGCGCTGAGCCTGTTGTCACTGTTGTTTAGCAGGCCCTGGCCAGGTTCGAACCCACCGACCCCAGTGCATGTGGCTGGCGCCCTAACCACTGAGCTACGGGCACTGTTTGAGACAGAGTTTTACTTTATTGGCCTAGGTAAAGTGCCGTGGCGTCATAGGCTCACAGCAACCTAAAATTCCTGAACCCAGGAGTTTTTGAGGTTGCTATGAGCAATGATGCCACTGCACTCTAGCCAGGGTGACAGAGTGAGACTGTCTTGAAAGAGCTTTAACACTTGTAATCCTAACATTACAGGTGAGAGGGTGAGGCATGTCGATTGCCTGAGCTCACAGGTTCAGAATTAGCCTGAGCAAGAGTGAGACCTCGTCTCTAAAAATAAGACATTGTGAGGGGTGAGGGGCACCTATAGTCCCCGCTACTTGGGAGGCTCAGGCAAGAGAATCACTTGAGCCCAAGAGTTTGAGGTTGCCATGATGTCATGCTACTCTACCAAGGGCGACAAAATGAGACTCTGTCTCAAAAAAATTAAAGAAGGTTTTAGGAGGAGCTGAAATGCTAGCGGTGTTCCATTAAATGAATTGATAACCACAAATTTATAAGCATTTTAAAAGAAAAGTACAAGAACTACTAATACAATGATGAAACTAGCTATTGTATACTGACTGCCTGCAGTATACCAAGGACATACCAAGTGATTACATGACTTATCTCAATCCTCAAAGCAACCCTAGGAGGACAACAGTGTTGTCATTTTTATAGATGAGGAAACTACAACGCAGAGATGTTTAGAAATTGACTGGGGTCACACTAGTAGTGGCAGATTAAAGATCGTCACCAGGCAGCCTGACTCAGGCGCCTTTCACCACCATTCTGAAAACCTAGTAGAGGGTCCTGAACTAGTTGGGGAGATTGGGAAAGATCACTGGTGGACCTGTGGGAGAACTAGGACTCCTGTTCTAAAGTTCTTGCATAATGAAGGGAGACATCTTTGCTGAGCTAGGCCTGATTTGTCAGGGGCCAACTCTGTAACCGTGAGCAAAGGAGAATAGGCAGCAGAGAGCCAGAGGCAGCTGCCTCGGTTAGTTACAATCATCAACCCTGATGTGGTTGCTTTGAAAAACAGGTGTTTGTAGCATACAAGAGGGACAGTTGTATTTTAGAAGGCATTTTTACATGTATTGTTTGATTTTTTTTTTTATAAATCTCATAAAATTTGGTAAGATAAGGCAAGGATTATTAGCCTCACTTTGCAATGAGGAAACAGGCTCAGAGAGGTACTGAGGTCACACAGCTAGTGAGTAGTAGAGAGACTTATTCCAGTCCAGTTCTCTTTCTGCTCCTCTCCTCACCCGTTTGGTTCTAACAGCATTTCCTCCATGTGGCCAGGAGAAAGAGCGTTCCTGGCACCAGCAGGAGCTGGCTAAGGCTCTGGAGAACCTAGAGAGGGAAAAAATGGATCTGGAAATGAGACTGAGAGAGCAAGAGAAAGAAATTGAGGCCATCCAGGCGCAGAGGGAAGAAGAACGGACCCAGGCCCAGAGCGCCCTATGCCAGGTAGGATACTAAGAGACGTGGAGCCGCACGTCCGATCTGCGGGCCTCTTACCTTTGCCTGTTTCCTTTTCTACTCCCAAGAGTGGTACCACGGAGGGGCTTCCAGAAGAGAATGTAGCTACCCACCACTACTAGTGAGCAGGGTGATCCACACACCATTAGCTGCAGGGCCAGCAGTATGTCACACTTCCTGAGGGAGGGCTAAATTTTACCACATCCTGTCAGCTCGCAAACCAGTGGCAATCTTTGTTCTTCCTGGTGCCGAATCAGTGGGCGCAGACCTTCCTTTTTCCTCAGTCCCCACTTCACTGGTTGAAAGAGTTTTAAGAGCAGCGGGGATGTGCTTGTGTCCTTGTGGATGAGCATGATAACCCCAAACCCTTCCTATCCCTCCACAGATGCAGCTGGAAACAGAGAAGGAAAGAGTGTCTCTCCTGGAGACACTGCTGCAAACCCAGAAGGAGCTGGCAGATGCCAGCCAGCAACTGGAACGGCTGAGGCAAGACATGAAGGTCCAGAAGTTAAAGGAGCAGGTATGGAGGGTAGTTCTGGGTGGGGAAGGAAAAGCAGCATTCATTTACCCATTCAGCAATGAGTAGTGTTATGACACTTCTTAAGTGCTAGGCCCTGTGTGCGTGCTAACCCCATGAAAAATACATAAAAGTGTGGCACAGCTGTCAACATGACATAGTCCCTGCCCTCAAAGAACTTACATGCTACTGGCAGAGACAGACAATAAACAGACACAAAATAAATGAGATTAATACCATTCGTTTTAAGTGCTATAAAGGAAATAAACAGGATGATATAATTGAAAGTGATTCAAAGGAGGTCACTTTGGACAGGGTGGATAGGGAAGGCCTCACTGAGAAAGTGACATTTGAGCTGACTGAGACTTGAAAGTTAAAGAGAAGCTAGCTGCTCACTGCTTGGCTGAAGCATGAGGATTATGTCAGCACAAGAGTTCAACACCAGCCTGGGCAACGTAGCAAGATGCTTTCTCTGAAACAGTGTAAAAAATTAGCTGGATGTGGTGGTAAGTGCTTACAGTCTCAGCTACTTGGGAGGCTAAGGCAGGAGGATCTTTGAGCCCAGGAGTTTGAGGCTACACTGAGCTACGATCAAGCCACTGCACTCCAGTCTGGGTGACACAGCTAAACCCAGACTCTAAAAACAAACAAAAAAAATAGAGAACCCCATGGTACAACAGAGATGAACCTTGAAAACAGTTTGCTATGTAAAAGATTCCAGTCACCAGAGGTCACATCTTGTATATTATGTGATTTCATTTATATGAAATATCTAGAATAGACAACTCTATAGAGACAGAAAGCAAACTCATGGTGGGGAATAAGGAATGATTGTGAATGGGACTGGGATTTATTTGGGGGGTGATGAAAATGTTCTAAAATTGGTCATAGTGATAGTTGTACAACTCTACAAATATACTAAAAATCACTGAAATGTGTATACTTTATGTTTTTTATATCATATATATATATATCTTTTTTTTTTGAGACAGAGCCTCAAGCTGTCACCCTGGGTAAAGTGCTATAGCATCACAGCTCACAGCAACCTCCAACTCCTGGGCTCAAGTGAGTCTCCTGCCTCCGCCTCCCAAGTAGCTAGGACTACAGGCGCCTGCCACAACGCCTGGCTATTTTTTGGTTGCAGCTGTCATTGTTGTTTTGGCAGGCCCGGGCTGGATTCGAACCCGTCAGCTCAGGTGTATGTGGCTGGCGCCTTAGCTGCTTGAGCCACAGGTGCCAAGCCAAAAACAAAAAGATATTTTTTAAAAAAGAAAGCCATTTGAAGAACACTATAGGCAGAGGAAATAGCCATCATCAGGGCCCTGGGACAGACAGAAAAGGGCTTGGGGAGTTCAAGGACAGAAAGGAGGCAATTGGCTCCAGCTTGATAAACTCAGGGGCAAGTGTTAGGTGGGTCAGAGCCCTTTGTCAGTCATAGTAGGAGCTTGGATTTTGTCCTAAGGGCAGTCAGTGGGAAACTAGCTGGGTAGTATTTAAAAAGCAGGGGTGGTAGCCAGGCCTTGTGGCGGGCACCTGTAATCCCAGCTACTTGGGAGGCTGAGGCAAGATAATCGCTTAAGCCCAAGAGTTTGAGGTTGCTACGAGCAGTGATACCATGGCACTCTACTGAGGGCGGCATAGTGAGACTCTATGTCTCAAAAAAAAAAAAAGAAAAGAAGCAGGGATGGGGTATGATTTATATACGTGTGTTTTAAACACTTTCGTTGGTTAGTGGAGTGTGTATGTATAAGGGATGATGGCATCAAGTGGAAGTAGGAATATAGTTAGGAGGCTGTTACAGTGGTACAACGGTCAGGGTGAGGGACTGTTACCAACTCATGGATCCCGACCAGGAAACCTGAGTGAGCCAGTGTACTTTCTGAGGGAGGAGAGGGAATGGGAGGTGAGATGTTAAGATGTAAAAAGCATGGATTTGGACTCCTGCCTCAGCCTTTGCCAACTCAAAAAAACAGTATTTATACAACATGGGTCTTAAGACCAGGGCCCCAGTAGAAACCTTTCCTATCTCACTAATGTCTTATTCCTCTGCAGGAGACCACTGGGATGCTGCAGACCCAGCTTCAGGAGGCTCAGCAGGCACTGAAGGAGGCAGCCCAGCAGCACAGAGAGGACCTTGCTGCCCTCCGAGAAGAGAGTGGCACCCTGCTGCAGAATAAGATAGACCTGCAGAAGCAGGTCCTTCCCTCCTCCTGCCACCCCCACAGTCCTTCCCCAGCACAGCCAGGCTCTCCCACTCCCTCCTGCAGAACAGGGGATCCTTGGCCCTGCTCCCTGAGCTTCAGAGGGTAGTGGTAGGCCACAGTACTGAGTGAAAAATTAGAGCATTCCCAGAGTTGAGCACAGAGCCCTGACCTTTCATTATAAAGGTCTCAGAACTTAGATTTTGTCAGGCAGTCTCAGTTGCAATTTCTTTCCATCCTCACCATAAATCTTCTATTTTTACATACCAGATTCCTTTTCCTATTCAGGTTGCATATCCTTCTCAGAATCCTATACCAGATGATGGTCTGATTTTTTTATTTAAAAAAATACAATTATAGGCTTGGTGCCTATAGCTCAGCATCTAGGGCGTCAGCCACATACACCAGAGCTGGCGAGTTCAAATCTAACCCAGGCCTGCCAAACAATAATGACAGCTGTAGCCAAAAAATAGCTGGGCGTTGTGACATGCACCTGTAGTCCCAGTTACTTGGGAGGCTGAGGCAAGAGAATCACTTGTACCCAAGAGTTTGAGGTTGCTGTGAGCTGTGATGCCATGGCATTCTACTCAAGGTAACAGCTTGAGACTCTGTCTCAAAAAAAAAAAATGCAATCACAGTAACTTACCTCTCACTTTGCCTTTTCAAGTAGTTATATTCAGCCAAGATTTTTACTTGTGTCCACCTTTATGCAGCACATGTGAGGCTGGGGAGACACGACCAGGCTGAACAGTCTTGAGGAAGGGGGTTAAGATCAGAAGAAAAGTATAGGGATTGGTGGAACATCCCAAGAATTGGAAATGGCCACTGACTGTGGTACACCTTGCAGGACCTTAAAACCCTAGGTGAGAAGCATCCTCCCACCAGCTCCCTGCCCTGCCTTCTTGGTCTTCATGCACTTAACTTTCCAGGTGGAGGACTTGAAGTCTCAGTTGGTGGCCCAGGATGACTCCCAGAGGCTGATTGAGCAAGAGGTTCAGGAGAAGCTGAGAGAGGCCCAGGAGTATAGCCGAATTCAGAAGGAGCTGGAGACAGAGAAAGCCAGGTAGGCTTGACAGGTCACAGAGGTGGCTTTTGCATCTGGCTACAGAGGTCACTGACATTGAAAATTCTTGTGGGGGGCAACTGTGGCTCAAAGGAGTAGGGCACCGGCCCCATATGCTGGAGATGGTGGGTTCAAACCCAGTCCCGGCCAAAAACTGCAAACAAACAAAAAAATAAATAAATAAAGTGAATCATTTAAAAAAAAAAAAAAGAAAGTTCTTGTTTAGGCCACCTTGCCTTTCTTGTCTACAGCTCTGGGATGTACATGTAGCTGTGTGGACAGGACATGGTCCCTATCTTTAAAGCTTGAGCTTTATTCATTTAATAAACATTTTGAGAACACCCATTAAGTACCAGGTTCTATGCCAGGGTTGGGGATACAGTGATAAACAAGACCCATGGCCCCTACCACGATAGACTTTATAATTTTGTGGGGAGACAACAAGTAAATAATCTCTAAAACAAATTACAGGCAGTCCCTAAGTTACAAATATCTGACTGATCTACAACTTGCACTTAATGAACAGAAGTTTTTTGTTTTTTTTTTTTTTGAGACGGAGCCTCAAGCTATCCCCATGGGTAGAGTGCCATGGCATCATGCTCACAGCAACCTCCAACTCCTGGGCTCAAGCGAGTCTCCTGCCTCAGCCTCCCAAGTAGCTGGGACTACAGGCGCCCGCCACAACGCCTGGCCATTTTTTGGTTGCAGCCATCATTGTTGTTTGGCGGGCCCGGCCTGGGGATTTGAACCCGACACCTTAGGTGTATGTGGCTGGCTCCTTAGCCGCTTGAGCCACAGGCACCGAGCCAATGAACAGAAGTTTTACAGGTAATAGGTAAATGTATCTGTTCCCTACAGATACAGAACCTGTTTTGTTCATAACCCAGGGACTGCCTGTATTACAGATGATGACATGGTGTTGAGGAAACAGGGTAAGAGAGAGGAGACCTACTTTATTTATTTATTTATTTATTTATTTTTTGAGACCTACTTTAGAAAGGTTGTTAGGGAAGGCATTCTGCAGGAGGTTGCATTTAAGCTGAACACTAAGATGAAATGGAGCCCACCCATGCAAAAGGGGTAAAAAGGAGAGTTCCGTATAGTAGGGATAGAAATATATGCAAAGGCCCTGAGGCAGCTCAAAGCCGACAGTGTTTGGTGAAACTGAAAGAGTTTGGTATGATTGGAACATGAGGAATGAGGAAAATGACATGAGCTACACAAGTTCACAGCATTCAGGACTTAGTAGGCCTGCAAGAAGTTTATAGTTTAACTTTAGCAGAAAACTACTGGAGGGTTTTAAGTAGGGAAATGGACATAATCCCATTTATGATGGATAGGGACAGCAGTTAGTAGGGACATTAATGACATGAAACATCAGGAGTGACATGCAACCATCCAGAATGAAGAGCAGCATATGTTCTTAGTGCTAGTGGGGTTTGAGAAGCGACACATCCTTTTGGCAATGAAATTAGGGGGAGGAAGGCAAGTTAGAAAGCCAGTACAGTTGTCTATGTAAGAGTTACTAGAGCTGAACCAGAGTAGAGAAGTGAGGAAGGGGAGAAGGGCAGGAGTTTAGGGGTTATTAAGGTAATTAGAATCAGTTATATATACAGTAGAACCTCTAATACAGTGTTTTTCAAGTTTTTTTAATCTCAAAGCACATTTGAACCTATAGTTAAACTTCCACAGCACACTTAAATTATGTTGATCAAAAAAAAAGAGTTAAAAAAAAAATACACCACTTACAGTGCTTTGAACTTTTTTTTTGAGACTTTGTCACCCTAGGTAGAGTGGCCGGGGCATCATGGCTCACAGCAACTTTGAACTCTTGGGCTCAAGCAATCTTTTTGCTTCAGTTTTTCATTTTTAGTAGAAATGAGGTCTTGTTCTTTATTTTTTTTTTCCTGAGACACAGTCTTGCTATGTTGCACTCGGTATAGTGTCGTAGTGTCACAGCTGACAGCAACCTCAAACTCTTGGGCTTAAGTGATTCTCTTGCCTCAGCCTCCCAAGGAGCTGGGACTGCAGGCACCCACCACAATGCCCAGCTATTTTTTTGTTGCAGTTGCCATTGTTGTTTAGCTGGCCCGGGCTGGGCTCAAACCCGCCAGGCTCAGTGCATGTGACTAGCACCATAACCACTGTGCTATAAGTACCAAGCCTGAGGTCTTGTTCTTGATCAGGCTACTCTTGAACTCATATGAGATTAAGCAATCCCAGCCATGCTTTGAACTTCTTTAGAAAATAATTTAATTAATGATCTTTAAAAATTTCTGTGGCACACCTAAGGTCCTCTGACAGCATACCAGTGTGGCGTACCACACCAGTTGAAAATCACTACTCTATAAGTTGGCCACCTAGAGGATTATAATAAACTGGGTCACCATATGGAGGTGGTCAACATAAGGAACTAGGTCTGCTATACTGATACATACATGTGGTACATATCTGGTCTTGAAAATTAGGTCAGGAGGCCTGGCGCAGTGGCTCACACCTGCAATCCCAGCACTTGGGAGGCCAAGGCAGGTGGAATGCCTAAGCTCACAGGTTCGAGACCAACCTGAACCAGAGCAAGACTCCATCTCTAAAAAATAGCCAGGTGTTGCAGCAGGTGCTTGTAGTCCCAGCCTCTAAAAAATAGATGGGCATTGTGGTGGACACCTGTAGTCCCAGCTACTCAGGAGGCTGAGATAAGAGGAACACTTGAACCTAAGAGTTTGAGGTTATTGTGAGCTATGAGGCCATGGCACTCAACCAAGGGTGACCAAGTGAGACTCTGTCTCAAAAAAAAAAAAAAGAAAATTAGTTCAGCTCAAGGAGGGGATATCAATGTAGGGAAGTGGCCAGCTATGGAGGTTCTACCATAGTTGTAGATGGGATGTAAATGGGATGAGGGGAGACCTCTATAAGTGGTCAAGTTTTCTGTGTTGGGACACTATGTGGATGGAAATACTATTCACTGAGCTAGGGCACACAGTAGGAGATGACTGGGTGGGGGCAGTGCAGAGGGGTTGGGAATATTTGGACTTGTATTTGATGTGCTTGTATAGATACATTTGAAATTTACTAGAGAAGAATAACCTATGAAATTGAAATGAGGCATCATATGCACAAAGCATATAGGATCACTTAGTAAATGCTTAGTAAAATAAAAGGTAGCTTTTACTGTGATCATTATCATTAGTATTTCTATTTTCATTATAAATGCTATGTTTAGAGTAGTCAGATGAGAAAGTACTTCTTCATTCCCCAAGAAGAACTTAAACCTAGCCCTCTGACCCCTTTATTTTTAGCTTGACTCTGTCACTGGTGGAAAAGGAACAGAGACTCCTTGTTTTACAAGAAGCTGACTCAATTCGAGAACAAGAGCTGAGTGCCTTGCGCCAGGACATGCAGGAGGCCCAGGGAGGGCAGAAAGAGCTTAGTGCCCAGGTACCTCTCGTTTGATTATGAGCCCTGCCTCTTGGAGTGGTAGGTTGATTGTTCAGAGTCTTCTCGTGGACCTGTCTCTTTTTCCTAATCACAGGATAGGTTGACACCTCAACAACCCTGGCAGGAGCAGGAAGCCAGGACTGGGCAGGTGGGGGTTTGGAACCTGACCTAGAGATCAGAGTAGCTCCTATAGGAAACCTGACAACCCAGAACATAATGCCCCAAACACAGAGATCACGTGGTCTGGGTCACGCTTAGGCAAGTATGCTTGGTCTAGTTGGCAAGATAGAGCAGAGGACTTGAGCAACAAGTTCAGATCAGGTAGGCAGCAGCAAGAGGATTTGCAGGGACTCAGAGTCTCCTCACCTCAGGACCCCAGACCTCAGGTACAGAGGAAAGGTGGGACTTTAGTCCTGAGTTTGCCTGCCAGCTCTACTGCTTCGAAGATATGTGAGCATTGGTTTCTTCCATAAAACAAAGATGGAAGGAATATATTATAGGAATATATAAGTTGTCAGGAACATGATAAATATCCAATAAGTGGTGATCATTGTTATTGTGAATGGTCTTACTAGGTTCACTGTCAGGGTTTTAGGGAGTTGGCATTATCTGCCCAAGATACCAGAGCCAAAACCCATTGGCATAGCCCGAGCCCATGTGTCTGGGCTTGGTAGGCAGCCAGGTGTTAGATCTAGGATAATACTCATTTCAGAGCCCCTCTCCGTGCTGGAGAGCTGAGCCTGCTGAAATCCAGGGATTGAGTGGGGTCAGGTTTGAGATGGTCTGAGGAGAAGGTATCCACTCCTTGCTCAGAACATGTTCACTTCCTCCCTGGCAGGTGGAATTACTGAGGCAGGAGGTGAAGGAAAAGGAGGCTGACTTTCTGGCCCAGGAAGCACGGCTGCTGGAGGAGCTGGAGGCATCTCAGATCACGGAGCAGCAACTGCGAGCTTCCTTGTGGGCCCAGGAAGCCAAGGCAGCCCAACTACAGCTGCACCTGCGCAGCACAGAGAGCCAGCTGCAGGCGCTGGCTGCTGAGCAGCAGCCTGGGAATCAGGCCCAGGCCCAGCTGGCCAGCCTCTACTCTGTCCTGCAGCGAGCCTTGGGGTCTGTCTGTGAGAGCAGGCCTGAGCTGAGTGGTGGGGGAGACTCTGCACCCTCCTTCTGGGGTCTTGAGCCAGGTGAGGCAGTCACCCAAGAACTAAGACCTGTGGGCCAAAGCCAGGGCTAGCTCCTAGGGAAGAGGAGAGGGGAATACAGTTCCTTAGGTAATAAATAATGCTTCAAGATGAAGGCCATATGCTCTGAAATTAATTCTGAATTTGAACCCCACCTCTGCCATTTGCTAGCTGTGTGTTCTTGGGCAAGTCACCTGTTCTCTCTGAGCTTGATTTTCCTCAGCTACAAAATGAGCTTGTTAAAAAAGTACCTGCACCAGGATGTTACTAAGGCGTTAATGAGATTTCAGATGGGCACTTAACGTGCATAACAAACAGTAGCTGTCTAAGTGCCCACCATAGTGCCTGGCACGTAGCTACACAGAAAACGTGATGAGTGAACTGCTGAGGAGTTCTTCATGGAGAAAAGGGACCAGTGGGAAAGATAAAGCCATGTCCAGGGAGGTCTAGCTATTTTTTTTTTTCATGGCAGCAGCCAGGTAAGGAGATTTTTCCTCATTTTTTCAGAACAGAATGGAGCTAGAAGCCTCTTTAAAAGAGGGCCCCTCCTGATTCCTCTCTCAGCTGAGGCAGTAGCAGCTGCCCTCCACAAGCTTCACCAAGATCTGCAGAAGACTCAGCAGGCCCGGGTATGTTTCTCTGCTCTCTTTCCCTGAATTCTTCACTTCCTTCAAAAAGTATGAGACAAAGAAGCATGAAGTGGTTTAACCTGTTTTATTCCTTACATCAAGTTGGGATGAGTTCCACTTCTATCACTTACCACCCAACCGCCATGAATAAAGCATTTGGGTTACCTGGGCCTTGCTTTTACTTGCAAAGTAGGGCAGATAGTACCTGCCTTACAGGGTTGTGGTGAGAGTTAAGCAAGTGAAGATCTAGAATTCATAGTTGATAAAGTATGAAACCCTGTACAGATCTGTAGTATTTGGCCTCATTTTTCTCAGTCATGAATAACACAGCCTCCAAAAGAAACTCGACAAATTGGAGATGTGAGGTTTGAGTTTGCCATTTATAGGAGCATTCTAGGTCTAAGACTGAGCTAACGGTCCCACAAATTCCACCCCACTTGAATACAAGCTGACTGCTGCCTGTATGGGAGGAAGACTTGATCAGCACCTTTAGGAAGGTTCCTGACAAGGTAGTTCTGCATTCTCATAGAAAGCAGAACTAGTGGAATTAATTAGGTCAATAATACATGCAAAGATGGACTCTTGGAGCTAGAAAAAAGGGGCAATTCATTCTGATGTGGGGGAGGGTCAGAAGAAAGGATGAAGTGGGCTTTGGGCTAAGCTTTTTTTTTTAGAGGTAGAGTCTTAACTTTGTTGCCCTCGGTAGAGTGCCATGGCGTCACACAGCTCACAGCAACATCCAACTCCTGGGCTTAGGCGATTCTCTTGCCTCAGCCTCCTGAATAGCTGGGACTACAGGCGCCCACCACAACACCCAGCTATTTTTTGGTTGCAGTTTGTCCAGGGCTGGGTTTGAACCCGCCACCCTCAGTGTATGGGGCTGGCGCCCTACCCACTGAGCCACAGGAGCCGCCCTGGGCTAAGCTTTGAAGTAGGAGGCTGGGGCGGGAAGAGACTTTGAACCCAACTTCTGTTTGAAAAGACAGGTCAGATGGGGGATTCTCGGCTCCTGCCAATTCAAGCAGAGCCTGTCTTCAGGAGCTAAATGCTCTTGAGGTCAAATGTACATAACCCAGCAACTTAGGAGTAGGTTCACGATGGCAGGTTACCCCCAAGGCTGAGGGTGAGGAGAGAGTTTTGGTCCTGGCTGGGATGGAAATAAGGAACTTGAGTTTAGCCACACCCTTCCTTTCCCAGGATGTTCTGAGGGATCAGGTCCAGAAGCTGGAACAACGTCTAACTGATACTGAGGCTGAGAAGAGCCAGGTCCACGCAGAGCTACAGGATCTGCAGAGACAGCTCTCCCAGAACCAGAAAGGTGAGGAGCACAAGGCAGGCAGGGAGATTTGGAGAGAGGTAGAGGGTGAATTGGAAGCCCAGAAGTGGTAGGAAAAGGCCTACCAGCCACTCCTTTTATTTTTTTATTTTTATTAGATCATAGCTGTGTACATTGATGCTGTCATGGGGTACAGTGTGCTATTTTTATATACAATTTGAAATATTTTCATCAAACTGGTTAACATAGCCTTCATGTCACTTCTTTTATTTTTTAATCTATAACTATGAGATAATATCTAGAGGCATTTCCACACGGTGATAACTCCTTTGAGCTATTTTTCTGCTTTGCTTAACCTTTGAGAGCCATCCTGGAGGATGGGATTAGGAGGAACACATTTGGTGAATCAAGAGAAGGAGAGCTTGGGGCAGCGCCTGTGGCTCAGTCAGTAGGGCGCCAGCCCCATATACCAAGGATGGCA